ATCGGGAATATCGCCAAGGATTTGGGACTTGATTTCAGCCAGTTATCTGCTCGCAAGGCACGCATTGATCCCGAGGATGACAACACACAGCTCTGTGGTATCAACCTAAACACGGGTGACTTGCTTGTTCAGGAAAGGATCGACAGAGAGGGACTTTGTGGTAAAAAGGCTTTGTGCGTCTTAAAACAAGAGCTTGTACTGGAAAACCCAATCCAGCTGCATCGTATTAGTATTCGTGTTGTCGACATTAATGATAACGCTCCACAGTTTAATGAAGACTCTCTCAAAATAGAAATTCGGGAATCGGCAGACAAGGGAGAGCGCTTTCTTCTCAGAGAAGCACATGATGGAGACATTGGAGAAAATGCTGTTCAAAGCTACGCTTTGCAGCAAAATGATCAATTTAAATTACATGTAAACACTAAATCAGGTGGACGAAAGTATTGTGAATTGGTATTAGACAAAGAATTAGACAGAGAAGATAAAAAGGACATCATGCTTTTGCTGACCGCCTATGATGGCGGCTCTCCTCAGAGATCCGGCACTGTAGTCATACACGTCACTGTGCTGGATGCGAATGATAACGTACCAGTGTTTAGTCAGCCTGTCTATAAAGCCAGTCTGCCTGAAAACTCTCCTCTTGACACTTTGGTGGTCACAGTGAGCGCAAGTGATGCAGATGAAGGAGTGAATAGCGAAATCTCATATGCGTTTGACCATGCGTCTGATGACAATATAAATGTCTTTAGGTTACACCCCAAAACTGGAGAAGTGAGAGTGTCTGGTGTTGTTGATTATGAAAAAATAACATCACATGAAATGCAAATAAGTGCCGTAGATGGCCTTGGATTAATTTCGTATTCTTCTTTAATTATTGATGTGATTGACACAAATGATAATTACCCCGTCGTACAACTAAAATCACTGTCAAATTCAATGGCAGAGAATGTGTCACCTGGTACAGAGGTTGGCCTCGTTAATGTACAGGACAGAGACTCAGAGCAGAATGGACAGGTCCGTTGCTCCATTCCACAAAATGTACCCTTTAAATTAGTTCCTTCGATTAAAAACTATTATTCTTTAGTGACAACTGGACAACTTGACCGCGAACTTGTGTCTGAGTACAACATTACCATCAGTGCCACTGACGAGGGCTCTCCTCCTTTGTCCACCTCGAAAAGTATTCACTTGACTGTAGCGGACATCAACGACAACCCACCCGTGTTTGAGGAACAGTCCTACAGCGCATATGTGAGTGAAAACAACAAAGCTGGCTCCACTTTATGCTCTGTAAGTGCCCGAGACCCCGACTGGAGACAGAACGGCACCGTGATTTATTCTCTGTTACCTTCTGAGGTGAACGGTGCTCCGGCGTCCTCTTACGTTTCTGTTAACGGAGACACAGGGGTGATCCACGCTGTCAGGTCGTTTGATTACGAACACTTGAGGAGTTTTCAAGTCCACGTCATGGCCCGAGACAACGGTTCTCCTCCACTGAGCAGCAACGTGAGTGTCAGCGTGTTCATATCGGACGTAAACGACAACTCTCCTCAGATTTTGTACCCCGCCCCGGAGGGCAACTCCTTCATGACCGAGCTGGTCCCCAAAGCTGCACACGGAGGCTCTGTGGTGTCCAAAGTGATCGCGGTGGATGCCGACTCGGGACAGAACGCCTGGCTGTCCTATCATATTGTCAAGTCCACAGACCCGGGACTTTTCACCATTGGTCTCCACAGTGGCGAGATCAGGACCCAGCGGGACATTTCGGAGTCTGACAGCATGAAACAGAACCTGATTGTGGCCGTGAAAGATAACGGACAGCCCCCTCTCTCTGCCACCTGCTCCATGTATTTACTTATTTCGGACAACTTGGCCGAGGTACCGGAACTGAAGGACATTTCTTATGACGACAAGAATTCCAAGCTGACCTCTTACCTGATCATCGCTCTGGTGTCCGTGTCCACCTTCTTCCTGACCTTCATCATCATTGTCCTGGGTGTGAGGTTTTGTCGCAGGAGAAAGCCCAGACTGTTGTTTGATGGAGCAGTTGCCATTCCGGGCGCTTATCTGCCTCCTAATTACGCAGATGTTGACGGCACAGGAACTTTACGCAGCACCTACAACGATGACGCCTACTTGACAACAGGCTCCAGAACCAGTGACTTTAAGTTTGTGTCTTCCTACAATGACAACACGCTACCTGCTGGCCAGACTCTGAGGAAAAGTCCGAGTGACTTTGATGAGATGTTTGGTGATGCTGAAGGTTCTACTGAGGTATGAGCAAGACTCACACTTTGTTGTTCTTTCAATTCAACTTTCAAAGGCATTCACCCATCTGCTGTTGAAGGAATGATTCATTTGGTTAACTGGTGGTGTTTTTTAGAGGCAAAAGCTGCGTTTATTTTTGTCGTATTTGTCTTTTATTCCATCCAAGTTTGATTGATTGGGTTATTTCAATGGTCACTGTCTGCTACAATCTGACAAGGAATATTTTCTTTCAACTAATATTTCATCGTGTATCGTCAAGTCATTGTGTTGAGTATGGTCAGTAATTCCCGAAAATAATTTTCACAACCATGTTCCATAAATATCTGCTTCAACACACGTTTACAGCCGAAACTAGGAGTGGGGTCGTTTCTGCATGCGCAAGCACGTTAACATACAATCAATGTCAGTGTTTGCGGTGTGGCTCTCATGTACACTATTGTTTTCCCACAAGAGAAAAAAGTGGGACCTGGCAGCAAGGCAGATTAAGTTACTTTTTCACTTCATGACACAAAGTGGAGGAAATTGCACAACTTTTGATTTGGAAAAGACCGCGGATGATGCTCGAGAAGTGCAGGAAATTGCACATGACTTTTGATTTGGAAAAGACCGCGGATGATGCTCGACATTGGAATCACATATCAACGTTTCACAGTTTTACTGAAGCTCGCTTGGAAAAAGAATCCGTGTGTGTGTGTGTGTGTGTGTGTGTAAACATGTGATAACCTCTCATATCCTGGTGTGTGTGTGTGTGCGCGGACCGTTTGAAATACCTTCAAGATCAGTTCAAGAATGTATTATGGGCATACTGATTGCTTTGCTGAAAGAGTTGTGGGGCGATGGGGTGCCGGTGGGGACATATTCGGAAAGTGTCGGCCAAATCTTTGATCTTATACTTACTGCCAGACTTGCGCCACAGATCGGACGCCCCCGTCCAATGGCGGATTGCGTTTATATTCGTTTAAACTCGTGAGAGGGGCGAGAAACGTGACTATGACTAGATGGACATTTTGAAATGGCCACGCGAGTGATGGTTGCGTATATTATAACTTCTCTCAGGGCACTGTGCAAGTTACAGTTCTTGATTAGTGAAGACAACATATGAAGGATATATCTTTTGAAGATACGATGCATCAAAAGACTTTTTAAGGGCGCATATGCTTCTGTTAGATTATAGTGTGTGAGGATTGATATCAAAACAGGAGAATGGATGAATTTACAAATTAGTGCTGCCTAATATTTTGCACATTTCCTCAATCTAGATAAGTAATTTCCATTGCATTCTGTTCGTGAAAAACACATTACAGGCGGCAATTTAAAATTAAACTCAACACTGAATTCGTGCACTTCCTTCCTATTATATTGAGTAAGTGTGATAGTGCAAGTCGACTCAAGATGGCGATATAGACCAATCTTGAAATTACGAGTCTTTCTCTCTTGTGGAAGGGCGTTTGGCCGCACAAGCATTTGGGCTGGAGGGAGGATAACATCAGATTGTCGTTCCTGTAAAGTGTACAATTATATTTTGGACCTCTGTGTTGTATATATCTCATGTCCACGTCTTTTGAACGGATGATGGCGTCGAAGTGCACCCGGTTTCAGGCGCACACATTTTATTTCCTTTTCCTTTTGTTTCATTCCTCACACGGAGACGTGAGCTTTTCCTTTCCCGAGGAGATGCAACGAGGATCGGTGATTGGGAATTTAGCCAAGGATCTCGGATTGGAGGCGAGCGCGCTGTCCGGTAGAAAAGCCCGCATCAACGCCGACGGGAGCGGAAAACGTTACTGTGATCTAAACGCGAGAAGCGGAGAGCTGATTGTGGCCGACAGGATTGACAGAGAGGTGCTTTGCGGTAACAAGGCTTCGTGCATCCTAAAACAGGAAGTCGTATTGGAGAATCCACTGGAGCTCCATCGAATTAATTTGCACATTCAGGATGTAAATGATAACGCCCCTCTGTTTAAGGATGACTTAATTGATTTGGAGATAAGGGAGTCAGCCGTCAAAGGGGCTCGTTTTGTGATAGAGGAGGCCCACGATGCGGATGTCGGACAAAATTCAGTTCAGCAGTACTTGCTCAAGAAAAATGACAATTTCGTTTTGTCTGTCGGTGGTAACACAGTAGAGCTCGTTCTTGACAAAGAACTTGACCGTGAAAAGGAAAGTGAGATGAATTTGCTTCTCACAGCTTTAGATGGCGGCTCTCCTCGGAGATCAGGCACAGTGGTCATACATGTCACCGTGCTGGATGCTAATGATAACTCCCCAGTGTTCAGCCAGGCCGTTTATAAAGGCAGTTTGCCTGAAAATTCTCCTCCTAACACAATAGTGAT